GTGCTGGGGTCTGCTTTTGTGCATGTGGGGACATGTGTTGTCTTTTTTGGTGTGTGTGTGTGTGTGTGTGTGTGTGTGTGTGTGTGTGTGTGTGTGTGTGTGTGTGTGTGTGTGTGTGTGTGTGTGTGTGTGTGTGTGTGTTGGTGCAGCAGTGGGGACTAATGCTACATTCTCCTGCTGCTTCCATTGCCTGGTTTTGTACCTCAGCTGTCCCAGTGGACCCAAGCCAGACGACACACATAGCTCTGCTGTGTGTCTGCACTCTGTGACCCACAACTGTGTGTGTTTATAGTTGTATGTGTGTGTGACTGTATTGTCCGTTCCAAGAAAAAAGGCTTGTATGAATAAAGGAGTAAAGTACAGATGACCCTGCGTCACTGTTCTGATCTAAGCTTCAATCCAGACAACACTCGTTCCTCCAGCCAGTCAGAACAAAAAACCCACCACATGAAGATTTTAAACTTTGCAAATATGTGAAAAACAAAGACATCATAAGGACTACATACTTAAGCACTTCCAGCCCTCTGGGAAATACTTCTAGTTTTCCTAGTCAAATCAGTCAGTCTGTCAAATCCCTAAATACAGGTTGAGTAAGTTTGCTGTCACATGAAAATGTGAAAAAAGACAAAACGTACAAAGTTTGAGTTAGCATGCTTTTAAGTGACACTTTAGAAGGCTTTGTGGTACAAGTTAAGTACACCCTAGCATATCTTAAATTAAAAGTTTTACAAAAATGCAGTCCTTTGTCAGGAAATTCTTCAAAGGACCGTTTTCTTTGGCTTCCATTTCCTAAAAAGTTTTCTGCCAAAATACTAGGTTCCCATGACAAAAACAAGGGACCAGCTGATTTCACAGGTTTTTAACCATATGTTTCTAGTGTTCCAATATTTGGCCACAATGTTTCAAGATCCCAATCCAAACAAAAATGCCAAAATTTACAGGCAGAAGTGTAGACGGGGGGACATGAAATAGTGTAAATAATTAATACATAATAGAATATAGAGAAATACACAGAATATACAAAACATATAAAGAAATAAAAAGGAAGATAAAGAATAAATAGATTTTTACAATATAGAAAAACAAAATACACAGACCATTTGTAGAATATATCAAATGGTTAGAAAATATATAGAATATATACAGATACATATCATATAGAAGAAAAACAAATATGAAAGAAAAATGAAATATCAAATGAAAGGTTTGCTTCAGTTGTAAAGATTGTTTATTATTGACATTGTTTTGTATCCAGCCTTCAACCACTTGGTTTGTATTTACCTGAGTTGGAAGTATGCACACAAGGCCTGGTTATTTACACACTTTCCATCCTTTTCTCAGGACCTTTCTCTTGAATAAAAACAGAGTTGGTTGTGCTATCCAGTGTAACTATCACATAACCTCTGAAAAGATACATCAGTATGGATCAGCTTGATTAGTATTAGGCTCTAAACATATTCAAACAACTGGAGGGATGGAACCAAAACAACCTGATTAGCCTGTTATGTAAGAAGCTACATTCTACATGACCTCATATTATCATATATTAATACTAGCTCATGTTTCACCATTAAGAGTATTCACAGGTACCCACATGTAGATGTAAACAACTTCATGGAGGGAACGGAGAGGTGGATAAAAAAAGAGAGATGTTTACACTTTGCAAACATTGAGCAACAAACAAGGTCAAGATTTCTTAAGCTGCAAGGTTCTTCAGAGAGCTGTCATCGCTCTGCCTCCCCTCATGTCACAGATTCTCAGTGTGGTCTGAAAGGTTTGGACTCCAACTTGGGAGAAAGGAAACACCATCTGTTTAAAGAATAGAAGAGGATGCTGGGGATGTATGAGCTTCATGTGCACCATATGGTCAGAAGGTGACTGGATTGGTGTCTTAATGGGATTGACCTAATCTGCTTAAATTGATAGAAAAAGAAGGAGAAAGACACGCTGACATTTAGATTTAGAAAACAGCGCAGTGTAATGTCATTGGCATGTTTAGAGAGGGAGTTGTTCACAAAAGGACAACTATATCTTTGGTTGAATATGTTCTTTTTTTTGACAACAATCACAGAGAAAAAAATACCCCAATGTAACAACCATTTAAAAAAATCAATTCGGCATAACTCAAATATTATTTTAAATAATGTTTTGGGCTGTAGGGGAACATGGAACATGTGCAGGGTGCTAATGTGCAATATGTGCAATTACTGGTTGAGACTGGTGTGCACTCTGCTTGTTTGTTGATCTGAAGATGTGTTTTGTTTATATTGTTTTTGATTTATAAGAATTGGGCTACTACCTGCACAGATGAATGTGTTCATGATTTGACTTGAAGATACATCCTGTTATGGATGACGCTGTGTATCGTATTGTATAGTCTTGTGTACTGTTGTGTCATGTCGTGTTGTATCAGGGGCCCGTTTCTGAAAGAAGGTTTTGTGTAAACTCTGAGTCAGTTAACCCTGAAATGAGGGAAACTCTGGGTATTCCGTTTCAGAAGAGGAGGTCACTCAAACCCGAGAAAGAGGGGTAACTCCAGCCCGTTTCAGAGGGAGAGGTTACTTTACCTCTGAGTCAGTTACTATGGTAACTGAGTCTGTCAACCTAACCTGTTCGGGAGCAGGTTTTCTTCAATGGACCCCGAGTTTCTCTCAGTCTCCTCCCTCTTTCAGAGCCAGAAACGCTGTTTCATTTCCTCATTCTTTCATTCAGTCCGTATCACGCCGTGTTAGTGAAGATTCACCGGTTGCCTGAATAAAAATCCAGGTTGTTTTATGATGATATGTTAGGATGGCAATAGCCTACTACAGTGTATAAAACAAACTATTTTATTGAACATGGCATGTCTCTAAGTCGGTATGAAGGGGCTGCATTACTCCGAAGGGAATTAGAGCCTAGGCTACATTAATGTCGGGAGATGTTAATTTAATTAGGGTTAATTTATAAACTAAACAGGATAAAGGTGAGAGGACATTTAGCCTATGTGTGTGTGTTTTGTTAAACCTTCTTCCAGAAACAGGCCCCAGGTCATATTGTGCCATGCCATATTGTAGGCCTATTTGTATCCTATGTCATCATAAAGTATTGTATTGTATCGTCCCAGGTTGTGTTTCGTCTCATTTTGTCTCGGATCGTCTCTTAGCGTTGTTCGTATCATATTGTAACATTTCATATACGACTGTATATTAAGCCAAGGAGAAATCTTAGTCGCTTGTGATGGACTTACGCCAAAATGAAAGCACAACAATTACTTGCCTTTAAAATCCAAATCCTATTAAGCTCACCAAAACAGGATTGTGTGTTCTCTTAAGTCTACCTGTTTGTGAAACCTGATCCAATGTGAGTAAACATGCTACAGGGAAGAGTGAATCAAACCCAGTCTGATGACAAAAAAACATTACCTGCGTCATTTCACCATGAGTCTTCTTTCATTCTTCATCAGAAGTTGTCACATAACACCTGGGCCAAAATTCCCCAACACATACGCAACACCACCTTTTCTCTCTCTCTCTCCTGCTCCCTCGCTCGCTCTCGTCTACTGAGGGTGATGTTGATCAACCGGTTTCTGTACCCGTTGCGTAAGTACCTGACTTTGTCTTCCCCGGAGGCACAATCCTGTGAGTGTAAACATCCATGAATCATCCGCGTTACATGAGACGAGCAGTCTTCTATCGTTAGTACCCGAGAGACTCTTCTCATCTCTGGCTTTGTTCCCATACAGAAGTACATCTGTTCTGTTAGCCGTACAGATAAGACACAGGACACAGACGGTGGTATGTGTCTTGAGATAACACTTGTTATGAGTTGATGCTATACAAAATAAATTGAATTGAATTGAATTGGTATGAAGGACAGGAGCAAAAGACGAAACATATTTTGAGGTGGCTACTTGAAGAGGCTTGGAAAACTAACAAGAGGAACACCTTTCACCAGGTGTCTAGCGTATTGAACACATTCCTAGGATGACGACGGTGAACACCTGCAGCTGTAGTGACATCACTTCACACCCAACAGAAAGGCATTCTCTTAACAAAAAGACAGTCTTACACACAGGTCTTTGTAAGTGTTATTTATAAGACATCACACTTTCTAACTTTCTGGGAGATGCAGGGTTTCTGTAGTAAATGTTAAATCGGCATGTTTTCTGAAGTTTCATAGTCAAATCAGTATTTTGCACATTTTTTACTTTTTCATCAATATTAATTCAATTACCAGTAAACTTTTTCTTGAGCGATGTTCCACAGCAGGGTGGATGCAGCTGCAGATATAGATGAACAGTAATACAGAGTACTGTAAGTGCTTCTTCATTAGCTCTGTTAAATAAATCTATATCCATTATTAATGTTATCAGCTGTTTCCACCTGCTGTGACACATCTTCTTATTGGAGCATTATTAGTATTTCATATCTGATGTTGTAACAATGTGGAGTTGTTGTAAGTAAAGGCAAATTGTGTCTTCCCAACTGTGTACCTATGATGATATGACCTGGCAATGACAAATCCTCACTTATATGTTAGATGCTTTTTTCAGTCCACTCTATTTTTCACAACTTCTATGGAGAGGCACAATAACAAGGCAGTATGAGCGTGACACATTGCCTTGAAGTGTGTCACAGGCCACTGACTCATCAGCGTCCCAGAGTTCGCTGAATCTGTAATCTAATCTCACACTGATATTATATTCACTTTATGGTGATTCACTGCAGCGCCTGAATCAAGGTGCGTCTGGAGACACACTTTTGTTTCATAACACAGGCCTTGGGTGAGCCGAGCATTAACCTTACCCTGTACGGAATTTGATTATTATTTATTTTCAGTCTCTGTGGAACGTATACTCTGGATGTGACAGATCTTTATAAAAAACATGAGAAATGTTTGCTCACCTGTGTGTTAAAAAGATAAAAATGTGTTTTTTTGTGATTACAAATATTGCCTTGCATGTTTTGTCAGGATCAAATGATGCTTGTTTTAAAAAGCAGAAATCAACCCAAAGCAGCACATTTTCAGATAATAATCAGTTTTATTTTCATTAGAAAAAGAAACTATCACAACTTCATTTTGGTTACTGTACAGTTTCTCTTCTCATAGTCACTCAGTCTGATAACAGGTTGTGATTTCATGCTGGAACACCAAACACCCTCCTACTAACGCACACCACTAGTACAACATGACAGTACACAACTTTCTCTTTTTTTTTTCTCCTCTCTTCTTTGCATTTTACATCCTCTGATATCCTGGACTGGGTTAGCAATAGAAATCACTTCCATAATAATAATAATAAAAAAAAAAAAAATGGAGTAGAAATCCCTGACACTTTCACTTTGAGGGACAAGAGAAAGAACTCTTTGAGCGGTGTGGTCCATACAACATGCACCTGATGTGTTCCTGTATGTGTGTGTAGGCCTTTGGACAGCACCATAAATCACTTTTAAACGTGTACATTTAAGAGGTTCCCTGCCCTACATGAAGAGCGAGAGAAAGAGATGGTGATGGGGGGGAGGAGAGGGGAATCTAGGTCAGATTGTGGAGCATGCAGACCCCTTTCGCAAGAGCACTCGTAATATGCATTCTCTCGCTCTCTGTGGACAGAACCGCATGCATGGTCATCCACGGTCAGGACAGCAAGTGGAACACAGTTAATATAAGATTTAGGGATGTTCCAAGTATGTCTCCCTGAGAAACACTTTCTTCAGTACCGTAAAAAAAGACAACAACCTCCTTCGTCACAGGCACATCCTGTCTAACTCTTCTAAGCCCTACTTTTTTCTCTCTCTCACATTTCTCTTTTCTTCCTTTATGATTAATGCACCACTGTCAGCAATCACAGCAGCCAATCAGGGGGAATGGGCAAGTGACATTCAAACAAATTTTAACTACCCCCAAAAACAACCTTCCAAACCCACAGGTGTGTATGCGCCGTCGCTAGCTAGCTATATATGTCTCCATGTATATATCAAGGCTGTGAAGAACTGAGTGTGACGTTGACACCTTTGTGACAGTTCAAATGGTGCTACTGTCCCCCCCCTCCCCTTCTTCACACTCAAACAGGAGATCTGGGAGGAGGACGAAGGCTGTAAATAGGTTGTTCTGCTGCCTCTCAATGTCTCCCACAGTAGCACCACAAAGCTTAAGCACACACACACACACATTTGGACATCACATATTGAGCTGACATGCAAAAGCACCAGGGGGGTTTAGGAAAGGTAGAAAACAGGTGCAGTTAGAAAAAAATACAAATAGTGAGGGGCTTATTGCTACAAAACGTGTCACTACATGATCCCTGTGTAAGGGCATTTATGTTTTATATTTAAGGGTGTCAATGCGTGCAAGGACCGAGCAAAGGAGCAGGATTCTTCATTATTATATCAATTTATGTTGGCTGAACACATCTTCGCATGCTTTTCTCTGACCTGTTGACAGTAATCTCTGTAGCCCTTTACAGGTTTCACTCATAAAAACACCTCCTTAAAAAGGGGTTGGTGTCCTCAGAGTTAAGAAAGAGTCAAGTGAGGCAAGTGACAGTGCAGGTGTGCTTGTGTGTGTATGTTACTAAAACAGGGGGAAAACACACGCAGATTAAAAAGCCTCATTTACCAAGCTGTTCACTCACACAAGGAAATTGTTAAAAAGCATTATCTAAATCAACATGTCAATGGCTGTATACAGAAACTCCACAGCCGCTCAAGGAAATCCTCTGTATAAAAACTTTTTAATTTTTATTGTCTCTCTCTGTTCAGCTAATATTAAAAACAAGGAAACTGCGGTGTCGACACCTCACAGTAGAAAACAAATAAAAGAACAACCAAACGTGATTTAAAACCTAGGGCTCCAATTCCTCCTGGGCTCTGACTCCTCCTGAGGAGTGCAGAGGAGGAGGAGGAAGTGGAAGGAGAGAGGAGATTACAGGTCTCTCTCTCTCTCTCTCTCTCTCTCTCGTTCACTAAGAGACGAGTTTGGGTAGGACCGTGCGCAGAGCGATGGCCTCCTCAGAATTTCCCATCATGTTGCTCCTCAGTTTGTTGTTGGCCGCTGTGGTGCCTAAACCAGTTCCCCCTTTGGCCAGGATCGAGGGGAAGGAGGTGCTGTGGTGCTCGGGGAGTCGTTTCACCGTGGCCCCTTGGCTCTTATCTGTCCCGGGTAGGGGCTTTGGTAGACGCCGATACAGCCACGGGTGTCTGAGAGCCTGGCTGGGGGTGAGTCGAGACGAGGGGTCCCAGTCCAAACACTTCTTTATGAAGTCAGTAAAGGTGGGGTCCTCGCAGCCCTTTAGCGCCGCGCTCCACTCCTTGCTGCCCGGAGGACCTCTCATCTTGCCACGCCGTGAGCGGGACCCTGTCAGCACGGTGGCCCCCGTGGGCAGCGTGTTGGCTCCGCAGTAGCGGGGGTGGCCCTTGGAGTTGATGAAGTTCTTTGCCCGTTTGGCCTGCTCCAGGACCTTCTGCGGAGGCATGCCGAGCAGCTCCATGACGCAGGCCAGCTGGTCGCCCTCGTCCTCGCCCGGGAACATGGGGTAGCCGGTGAGCAGCTCGGCGAGGATGCAGCCGAAGCTCCACATGTCAATGGGGAGGCCGTACCGCGATCCGAGGATCACCTCTGGCGCCCGGTAGAAACGAGACTGAATGTAGGTGTAGACCCGTTGGTGCTCGAAACAGCTGGAGCCAAAGTCGATCACCTGGCAGGGACGGCAGATAAAATCATTAAATTAAGTCATCAAATGAAGACTTGTTATACAGAGATGGTGCACTGACATGCTCCAGGTGTTGTACCTTGATACCGCTGCGTCCCTGCTGTTTGAGCAGGATGTTCTCTGGTTTGAGGTCACAGTGGATGATCCTGTGCCGGTTCAGGGCCTCCAGGCACTGCAGGATGGAGTGTGCAAACTTCCTGACCAGTGGGAGACTGAAGCCCTGGAACTTGTTGCGCTTGATGAGCTCGTACAAGTTCATGCTGAGCAGCTCGAAGGTCATGCAGATGTGGTTGCGGAACGTGAAGTTTTCGAGCATGTGCACGACATTCATGGTGCCGTTGCGATCCTGCTTGCGCAAATGCTCGAGGATGCGGATCTCCTCCTGCGCTTGCCGGTGGAAACGCTTCTCGTTGCGCACCATTTTTAGGGCTAGATGCTGCTGAAGCTTGTGGTCATACACCTTAGCAACCTGGCCAAAGCTTCCTTTACCAATAATCTGAAAGGAGGGAGATAAAAAATAAGAGTGGGTAAGTTACAGACAACTAAAAAAAACAATGGTCTACAAAAACTTCACAATACTACAGCCAATGTGTCAGACCTTGAGGAACTCGTAGCGATAAGCCAGATGGTCATGAGGGACATGAATGTATCCGCCCTGCTCATCATCGTAGCCACAGTTGTTGTTGCCCCCAGCAACGGCGGGCCTCTTCTTAGCGTTGGGTCCAACAAAGTAGATGTCCGGGTAGGAGTGTATCTCGGTGTGCTCCAGCGAGGAGAGCTGAGATCTGTACAGCCTGAGTGCCTGATCAGGACTGAGGGGGCCACACAGCTTCCCGCTGTTACCGACTCCCTGTGGGCCGGACGACTCACTGGAGCCCTTACTGGATTCAGTGCTGTGGCAGAGAGCAGGGCAGAAACATAATGATGAACGACTGAAGTAGTTTCACATGTTTTTTAAATTGTTTAAGAGTTTTTAAGTCTCTTAATATGATGGTATTGTGTTTGTCTTTGTGTCTCCATCTCACCTGTCTACACTGTGCTCCTTGGACAGGCTGGAGACGGGGGCTGGTTTACTGGGCGTCTGACCAGTGGTCCCACTGTTCTGAGTGGTCGCTGTAGTTATTGCATTGATCTTCCGGTTGTTGCTGGAGTCTTCATATAGATACTTGACCTTCAGCTGGCTGCCTCGCGCAGTTACCTGATCCCTCATCACAGCCTTGTTACTGACAACCTATTAGAGGAAGAGGAGACAAAGAGAGGGACAAAGAAAACTCATCAGAGAACCCATTTGGTTAAAACTCAACTCCAGGCTAAGAACTGGAATGACATATTGTACTTCGATGGGTAGAAGCCTTTGAACATTAGAGAGGACCAATGTGTTTAAATGTATTCAGTACAGTAAAGTGAGAATATAATTTTTCTCTGAGTAGACTAGCGAGACATTGTGCATAACAAAAGGGCAACATAGAATTCAGACTTTATCTAAGAGGACGTAACACAAGCCAAACTTTGTTTATTAACCTCACTTAAGTAAATATATTATATAATAGCTTATGTGTTTTACATTCCATTTTTCAAAGCAAAGCAATAACAAATGTGAAAAACCAGTAAAGTGACCCTTCTGCTTTATCTACAGTCACATTTCCAGAGAACACTAATTCCACAATCTAAAGTTGAAAATACAACGAGTCATCAGATGCAGCTCGTGTCAGGCTTGTTCCAGCTTACTTCAGATTTACAAGCAGGGAGACATTAGCATTGGTGCAGAAAGCAGAAGGTAAACCAGCATAACTGGAAAGTCAGAGAGCAGGCCTACCCCCAACCATAACTCATGCAAATTGACCTACATCCCCACCTACTGTTTTTGTTTGCTAGCTTTTAGAACACAGTGAGCCTTATTTATTTAAATATACTTTTTTTTTTAAAGAATTTGAACAATTATTACACTTACACTCAACAGTTACCCTCAAAAGAGGATATTTAAGTTATCTGTGTGTTGTTCTAACAATCTAAAGTGGCAGGTCCATTTTTTGCTTTGTGGAGTTTCAGAAAAGCTCTGATGCTTCGCCTGCCAGCAAACAGTTTCATTTCAGCAACCCCAGGAATTCAGTCGTCCACCATCTCTGTCTCTCCCTCTTTTCCTCTCGCTTTACCAGCGGAAAGAACCCTCCACAAGATTACGGAGCAAAAGGGGAAATGACAGTCATTAAAGTTAGATTATGCTTTTAAACTATACTGGCAGCGCTGCTGTTAATAAGACACACTGACATGAGCTGAGCTAAATACAGACACACAAGAAGAGGGATATTCACTGCCTTCATCATGTGAACATTTCTCAGGCAGTGTGTTTCAACCATGTGAGGGGGGAGGGGGAAATTAACTGTTAGCTTTCCTCCCATTCAATGACTCCGTTTGTACACACAGCTGAGCAGGTAAGCTGATAAAGATGACACAACGAGGAAAATTACATTAAAAGTGGAGTGTTGACATGTTCATCTGAAAGAAGACTCTGCTTGGAGTGTGTTTGTGTTGTAAGTTGGAGTCCTAAAAATAGAGGAGGAATGCAGGATGGGCTTACATGCATGAAACCATATAGTCTTAACTTGTTAGAGCAGTCCTGCTGCTAACCCGAGGGTCCCATGCAGCTGCTGTATGTAAGCTGCACTACAAACACAGTGAATGTCATTGATTTAGCCCCTTCACCCACAGAGACTCGTAAAAATCAAAGCTTTCTCCATGCGGAGAATCCACTGTGATTGATCATTTATAGACCGGGCAGAGGGAATGCTATTAGAAAAATAACTAATCACTGACTAAAATAAATAAAGTTGGTGATGCTGAGGGCGGAGAGTCCTCTTGTTTGTAAATCGGCCTGGTGTAACAGATGGAAAAGAAGCTAATCTCTATGCGTCCAGAGAAGCACATAAGTATGCTTCCCTCCTTGCCTGGAACACACACTTGTAGTGTTGCACAATTCAACACATGACGACCTTTTCCACTCACACATATCAGCCAATCATGGATATGCAGAGATCAACATTTGGTAATTGATGTTTGTAATAGGAGCAGAGCAGTCCCCTCCCTAACTCATTAAGTTGATATTGTGAAAGAGAACAAGTGCCACGATTATTTATTTTATTAGATTGTCCCGTAGACTAACAAAGAACAGGGACACCCGGTTTATTATTTTAATAGAGCACGAGGCAAGTCTAAGCGCACTGTCCAACAAGCCGAAGTGGGAGCCGAAGTCACGTTGAACAAGAGGATATTACCTCTGTGAGCGTGACACAAAATACAAAAGAAAAGGAAGGACAGGAATAGAAAACTAGGCCTAACCTCAGAGCCCACGGATGGTGGATTACATGAGATAGAGAAAAGGGAGTGGGAGGGGGGGTGGGAATGTTGATTGGGTGATTTTGTTTGTGGGTCACATTTTCAAGCCCAATAAATCTTTAGAATATATCAAACCAGCCCCCCCCCCCTACATGTGAGCGAGGAAGTGGAGTGAAATTGTCTGTGCATGTGCATTTTTTGTGCAGCGAGGCAAACACAGCAGAAAGGTTAAACTACTGTTAAAACTACCACAAGGCTTTTTATGTAAGTGTAAAGGAATCTTTTTGAATTACAAACATGTTCAAATAGACAAATGATCATTGAAACTTTTGACTATTCTTGAAATCATGTCCAAAATGTGTTTTTCTTGTCTGACCAAAAATATTCCCAGCAAATAGGGACTTAGAAATATGAATGGATGAGTGTACTGAATTCAACGGAATCACCTCATCAATAAGAATCACTGTTTTTTTTTTCTATAAATATTCTTGACTACATGCATGTCGAAACAAATTCCATATGGTTCTTCTGTGAAGCCTCTTGTCCCAGCAGATGAGAACACTATCATATGAAGCAAATGGAAGACCTCAAGGCGTGTCAAATTACTGGAAATTGCTAAATTTACATCCTGTGATCAGTGTAATGCCCTGTTATTTTCTCATGTGCAAACTAGCAAAGAAAGGGGGGGGGGCTGTTAATCACAGTTTGATCGTTGTATTTATGTGGGCTGGAGATGTACAATGGCTTCATCTGATACAGTCAAGGAAAAACTGCACGCTGATACTCAGATCCTCATATCGCCTGAGGCAGTTAAGTCAATGTTACTCAGAGGATCACGTGTTATGCTCGTTGATAAGGATGGAAAAACTTCACTGAATTATAAAAGGTTGGAGGTAAGAGATAAGACAACAAGTCTCCCAACCTGCAAAACTGTAGGCAAGAAAGGCTGAAAAAGTGATGAATGGGAAGAGGCCGAGTGTGGAATATCACTGAGGAACAGGATGTCTGTACACAGAGCGTGCTTCAGCACAGGAAACATGGCTTTACTGGCTTTGTGCGAGTGTGTGTGTGCGCGTGTGTACTTACTGTGTGTTTGGGCATAGGGGGCAGCCCAGACGGACTGTTTGTATCTGCTTCGTCTTTCAGGATGTGGTCTGTCCTCATGTAAGAGTCGTACAGGCCGTCTCCGTGGCGTGCTGAAGGAGGAAAAGATGGACAGATAAATCAGTGTGATAATGCGGAGTCATCAAAACTTGCGTCACTGTTGCAATCAGGCTGGAGGATGACGTTGCGAGGTAATGTCCACAGAGTGCGATGTAATCTTCACAGCAGGGGGGCAAACAATCACCCTTTTTTTTCCAAACCAGGCAAAGTCCTATTGATTATTTCATCAATCAAGCCCAAGTGTCCAGTAACTACCTTGAGACTTAAATACAGCTCGGTAAGGCACAAATCCCCCGCTGAACTTCAGCAGGATGGCATCAAAGCACTGGTCCGACACGACGCTCTAACCCTCGTTTACTGTGAAAAGGCAATTACAGCAGACACATCCATCCATCTATTGTATCTGAGACTTGGTATCCATGGACATCGCTCCAACCTGACCAGCTTAGACAGGGCTTAGGGTCCCAGATAGCTAGCGCTGCAAGTGGTATTATTGGCCTAATAGGGGTAACAGATGCCTCTGTGACGACAGCATCTTTCCGTCTGTCCATCTGTCCGTTCAGCCTGAGCCGTGTAGTGTGCACACACCAGGTGTGCTCGCAAATAGAGCTCATGTTAACAGATGCAGGTGCTTGTCATTTAATAGTGTCACGAGTGTGTATGGGTGCTCACCTCTCTGGCATCAAGCCACACACCTAACACTGAGATGATGGTGAACCAGTAGAGGGAGGACAGGAGTATGTGGGGACTCTATGAGGTCGCCTGTTACTCAAATAACAAAAACCTCAATTGGCCAGCTGTTGGGACACAACAGTTGTTCAGCATAGCCACAGTTTGCCGGTTCAATAGAAGTGGCCCTCCTGTATTAATGACTGAAATGCGGTCAAGTAGTAGTCTGTAAGCGTAAGGCATTCACAGAGCGATTGTGTTGGGTTAGCTCATTAGCAGAGAGCTTAAAACTACAGCAGCCCTTGAGAGTGGTGTAACCATGGGCAGGTGCGTCAGAGCCTGTGTCCCCAGGTCGTCAATGGACCAGCTCCGGGACAGATTAGACCTGCTGCCTGGATACTGATGAGCTAGACCTGCACAGCACAGCAAACACGGGCATTAGGGCTCCATACACACAAAAAGTAGCAAGCACAGACTCCGTTAGCCGTCTGGCTGTGAATTTCAAAATCACTCAGGGGGGGGGGGGGGGGCTCAGGACTCTCTGTACTGCATCTGATGAATGTTGTCCAAGTGAACTTTCCTGGAGAAAGAAAATCAAACAGAGCCCAAAACTTCAGTGTACTCAAACATCCAGCCTACAATGCCCTGTTGGGGTGCAGCTCTCTACGCTGTGACAACCCCCCCCCCCCCCCCCCCCCTCTGCACAGCAAAGAGCAGGGAACAAGGTTCAAGCAAACAGAGATACAGCTGATCATGTGGCATAAAAACGTGAGAGTCGTAAAGTCACTGTTCCTGGTCTTGATTGTCATCTTGCAAATAATAAGTCCAATGTACAACAGAGGGAGCATTTGACTAAGAGCCATTAAACAAGCACATTAGAAATGTTGTTGTTTTTTTTACACTTTTCTTCCCAATGTTAAATAACTACTCGTTCCTCAAACACAATAGTGCAAACAGAGATGAGGTCATAACAAATAGACAATACCAGCGACGACATCCTGGTACTAAACTGTTGTTCAAAAACTCCCTGACAAAGACATTCAACCTTATCAATCTGTGATAAGACGATATACTTACAGGGGAAGACTTCCTGGTTTCTTCTTCACAGCATTCAACAGAAGCAAGTCTCGTGATTGATATGAATGTTAAAAGAAAATATGTTTACAAGCAGCGTCTTGTAACAACCAAAGGAGCTGCACGTGTCTACATTCTGGACACGACGTGACTTCTAACCCTGGATGTCGAGACCAACTCAGTCAATCAGACATTTTACACACAGTGTTTCTGTGAAAGCCAGAAATCAAAAGATGGTGAAACTAAAGCCTCAAAAAACAACAACTACCTCAGCTGCCATGTTGGCAACATTTCAGCTCATCACCGACAGACAGTGCACTCAAACCAAAAGAATAAGACAACATTATGGACACAAAGGCAGACTGCAGCACGTTTTTATGTGGTTACCTGTTGCTATTGGGCCCTCTGGTTTTCTGCTTATTATCATCATGATTTAAATTTATATTTGATTCCAGCATCCGTAGGAGGAAAAAAATCGGGAGAAAAGTACAAAAACAAAGATGGTCACTTTGCAAAGGTATCAAAAAGCATTACAAACTTTGTGGGATTAAAAATGTTCAGTGCTACAACAATGCAGCAAGCAAAGTTATGTTTTTTCCTTAGGTTAGCTGGCGCTCCGCTTTGCTTAAATCAGATTTGTTCTTTGTTTTTTGCAGCCCAGAGTTGTGTTTATTCAGGGTGCTCCTCTCACACTAACCCGGGCTAACGTTAGCCTCGGCTGCAGCAGGCGGTGGGGGGTCGTTTCCCTCGGTTAGCTAGCCAGCTAGCTCGCACAGACCACAAAAACACTCGCCGCTCCCTCCGTTAAAAAGAGTTTGAGTCCAAATATTAGAGGTTGGAGATCCGACCCGGGTGTCCCTCGCCTTTCTCTGTCTGTACAGCGAGTCGATCCAGAGCACCATTCCCCCTGATTAGTCCGGGATAGCACGACTTTGTAGTTAGCGATGTTAGCTGAGCCCCCAGGATTGTGTCCTTCTTCGGGACAAGCTTTGGGGCTGCTTCGCTCTTCCTTCTTCGGGGGATGGCTAGCCCAAACAGGCTAACTCGCTAGCTGTGTTGCAGTCCCATGTTTCCTGTTTCCTTCACTTGTTCTCAAAGCAACAAAGCGGCGCTGTTTAATCCTTCTTCTCTGCGGTGCGAGTATCTTATTCGAGGCAGCTGTGTGTTGTTGCTAAGGGCGTCTTCACTGAGCCTGGAGTCAGCAGCATACAGGGGGGAAGGGACCCGGGCGGTGCTTAGTGAGCACACACACAGAAAGCAGAAGGGCGCCGCGCAGTGGCCTAACTGGGTACTGCAGGAGGGACGGGCTGCCCAGGCAATTTATTCTGTAAATTTGCTCTGAAAAAAACCCTCAACACTCATAGTTGCCTTGAAAAGTTTGAGTCATTTAAGGCAAATGAGTCATTTAAGGCAATTCAATAATAGTAAAAAAAAGTGGGCAATTAATGATTAAATCATTAGGTAGCCTATGTACAACTACAATTCATTATGAGTATATTCATTTGATAATTAGTATGGTTCTTGCCATCAAATTTGTAGTCATCAATGTTGAAGAGCTTATAAAAAAAACGAAGTGTACTGTGGAGTCTCATTATAATTTCTGTTAAGAATTTTAGAGTACTACAAGCCCTCAGAGGACCTCTCCTGAAATTGAAAATGTCTAAAAGACAAAGTCAAATGTCCAAAAGTTTACCACAAAGCATCTGCAGATGATTATTTTAAGTTTATAGGGCCATTTGGTTGAATAATAAATCATAAATCATAAAGTGGTTGCGCAGATGCACTTGACTTTATGGAAATATTTTTGAGGTTGACCAAAGTAGAGCTGAAACATTTATTTATTTTAAAATGAATTAATCAACTCTGAATCTTTCCGACAAAAACTGATTTAGCTTTTTTTGGAAGAAGTCAATGGTTTTCTTTTATTTCTTGATTTTTGGCCTGTTGGTTTGCCAATTACAATAAATCAGCTGAGAACCTTTGCCCTTTTTTTGTCTAAATATGGGAAAATAATGCACACAAAAATAATAAAATGAATCATCAGTTGCAGTCCATAAGCTAATAAGACTTCATATCCTCAGGCTTACATAGTGCTGGTGGTCATTCACTTTGCAAACCATGAAAGCTGAAAGGTTGCCTGAAACTTGAGATGGTCTGCAGATCTGAGCAGGGACAGATATAGTTTGGGGCAGGCTGGAGGACAGACAGAGTGAGAACGGGCAGGCATGAGAAGGGGCTAAATCCGGACAGTGATACATGCTGGGCAGAGGGTGATGCTAATCTTAACTCTTTCTCAGAGGTGAGAAGAGGGGTCTGTCTATATTTGCTGCCATAAATAAGCATAGTGACACAGTTTTGGGTGGCCCCAAGGGCCACAGCCAGCCCTGAAGGCCAGCTCTGCCATGCTGATTATTCTTGGTGGAGTATAGAGAGAGTAGGGTGACAATACCTATAAACCCATTTGCTTATTGCACTTTCCTTTCAGAGAAGTTTAAGATGTAATTAAGTTTGTGCATTCTTATCACAGCTGGTGAATTTACAGCACAGCAAAAAATGGGACCAGGTGCAAAGCTACCTACTGTATAGGTCCTTGGTCGGGGGGTTCTGGCTGTTTTTGGTCTCCTGGCCTGTGACAGACACTGACACCTGCATGTTTATTGGTCTCGAACCTCATTTTGAATGCCCTTCGAAAACAGAGTCCCTCTTAAAATGACTTCATGAGGGTGAGTTATGTATAAAATAGCAAACATTTCATGGTATATTGTATTGAGTATATAAACAAAAATATATCACCCACATGCGTTGGCATAAATCCACATACTTACTTTTAGTTGAGATAGTTACAATGCTACTGTCCCCTGCTGGTGATTTTAAAGTAAGACATATTGTTGAGACATGTTAGGTCATGTCTTCAGAACACATTATTCTAAATAATTAAAGGTTAAAAATCTGATCCTAATCTATAAAACCGTGTTTGTTGGTATGAATTCGGTGAGTAGCTAAAGGAAACTTTTGCTGAAAAGAAAAACAAGGAAAAGTGAAACAACGGTGAACTACCTTTTTTTTGTAACCCTCATCAAAGATTCCTTATCAGATACACCTTTTCATTTACAACACCTTTGTTTAATTGAATATTTGCTATCATGTGAAAAGGCTGACGTAAAGTCAAAACTTCTAAAACTAAGAGGTTCCTTGTGATATATTTCTCCAGCTCTGTGACACCATGTTGAAAACCACAAACAACAGGAAATGAAACAGATTCCAGTAAAGGGATGACCTTTTTATTTCATTTGAATATTCTGTACAGTTCTACTGTTATAGTTATACACACTTCTTCAAATAAAACTAAACAAATCGCAAATAAAAAGCATTAAGACTCATCATCCTCTACATACTATCACATGGATGTGTTTGACCATGAAATAAATAACACGCACCTCACACACACACACACACACACACACACACACACACAAAGGAATTGCTGGAAGGACATGTGTGTAAAGGGAAAGAAAATGGAAATTAAATATACAACACTACACCACCCAAAACACACTGATTTGCACACATGCAAAAGAACCCAGACAAACATCCAGTCAGGCACGTGTGTGCTGAAACACACCAGACAGACAAGCACCGGAGCACATGAAACAAAAGGCACTGCCAGCAGGAACAGCTCAGACTTTGGGTGGTGGGGATTGAAAAAACATGTGCATGTGTGGATTTATTGAGGAGGAGTTATGTGCTTATGGACAACAGGTCTTATTAATCAGTACTTTCTATACATTTTTATCAATTAAATGAAGCACGCTAACCAATCTCTTTTCAGAGTGGATTTTCTTCATGTTTTATACTAGTAAGTGATGCCCAGTGAGGGAGTGCTGATCACACACAGACACTCATTACAAAGCACTATTCACATCGTCCTCACTGCCCTAGATTGAGCATGCAACGCACACACAAACGCACGCACGCACGCACACATACACACACCACCCAGCAGGAATGATAACAAAAGTATATTCACCATATAAAACCTTGTCACTCTTTTCCCAGTGTCTACATCATACATATGCATTGCAACCACGTCATTGGTACTTCATAGCCATTAATATTGATTTTATATTGATTTTTTTTATTTTTAAAGGAGATGGAAGGCAGGGAGATAAAAGAAAAGCGAAGCAGAAATGCTGGCCCAGTCTGAGAATTGTGGGCCATTCAGTCACCTGCGTCTAAATGTGCAAAATAAACAGAAACTGGTTGAATTTCTACTTATACCACCTTTAATAAGACAAACCCTTCAAATGTTCTCTTTTCCCTTTAAAGATCCTGCCAATAAATCTCTCCTCAATGCTTTGGTGTAAAAATCCTCACACATTCAAATGCAATCTATGCACAATAACAGCATAAAGAATGTTTATACAATGGTGTGTGGAGCTCCTCGCTCAGGAGGTTTGAGATCATGCAAGATGGGATTGGAACAAAAGAAGTTGCAGTCCAGATTTGAGAATAGGTTTGTGTTTGAGCAGGGGGATGCTTTCTGAGTCAGATTGAGATTAATTCACTGGAATGATAAGAACAAATAATTTTTTTTTAAATTTTGAACAAAATGGTCTTAAAAGGAGCTGTATACGGTGGAACTGGTTTCTTTACATTTTAAGGTTTGACGAGAAAAAGGAAATCAGAGACTATATCTCACTTCTTTTCCTCACCATTCCTTAAAGCAAAGCCCCCCTTAAAACACACCTCCTTCACAATTCCCCATGCCTTTTATTTCTGCATCAAAATTATACATCAAATCCAAGAAAAAAAAAACACTCTATGATTGTCCTTCCATCTCCAGGAGATGCTAAAAAAAAGATTCATGCCTTCTGTTGTAATTCTCACTATGTGCAGGGGGATGAGCTGAGAGAGACTCATGCATAAGTAACACTTGCAGTAGCAGCAGCAACAGTAGCAGAAGATGGGGGAAACAGCAGTGGTTCTTATCCGTCCCCTAATGAGATTTCAAGTTTCAGATCGTGCTGTGAGCTTTCTGTGTGTGTGTGTGTGTGTGTGTGTGTGTGTGTGTGTGTGTGTGTGTGTGTGTGTGTGTGTGTGTGCGTCTGGCCTTGGCAATGAAAACAACACTTGTCCAATTAGCAAGCAGACCACACACACCCTGAAGTCTTTCATGTCGCTTTCGTCTCTCCTCAGGGAGTAGATGCATGAAACTGGGGGATCGAGGGGGTTTGTCCTGAGAAAGTGTATGCATGTGTGTGTGTGTGTGTGTGTGTGTGTGTGTGTGTGTGTGTGTGTGTGTGTGTGTGTGTGTGTGTGTGTGTGTGTGTGTGTGTGTGTGTGTATGCACTGTATGTTTTGGGTGAATATATGTGGAGGGTCAAGAAGCATCTGAATTCGGCTCAAGCCTCAGAATAGATGGAAGGTCAGTCTCTCCCTGGGCTGAGGTCGTAAGGTAACAGGTGGGGGGGGGGGGGTCAGGGGTCATGTTGTTGTAGGGCCTGTTGTAGTTTTTTTCGGTACACAGTGTATTTTTGCTCCACTGCCCGCACACGCTCTGCCTCCTCCTTTTCCAGGATTACCAGGAAGTTTTGTAACTCAGGAACAGAGAATGCATGCCACTGTCAGGAGAAAAAGATACACGAGAGAAAGTTGTTAAAATACCACAGCAGGAGGTAGTCTTAGGTACTTGTCCTTTAGAGATAAATTAGAAAAGTATATTACTTCAGCAGTTTCTATAACTCTGTTTTAATGACAGATAGATACCCTAAATCTAACTGTATACAACAAATGTTTGTGTGTTGTCTCACCTCCACCTCTCCAGTCTCATTCTCCTTCAGGACGAAGCTGAGCTGCTCTGGATTAGGCCCCGCTATCAACCTCTGAAGGAGAGGACGCTCACACAGAGGAAGCTTCTGGAACAGATCTGGAGAAAGAAAACAAAAAAAGCACGCACATTGTTTTTTAATTTCATTGCCCTCCATTATAAACATTATTTTGCAGATTAGTTTGTACTGGGTGTTTTCGTCCGCACCCTGTCCGTCGCGATGCGTCTGCCGGTACAACGCAAACTTTCGAGGATTGTCCAACACCATGAACTTCTTCAGCAGGCCCTGGATCACCTCTCTGGTGGTGGTCAGTGAGCTGATGTGGAGCTGCTTCACACAGTCGCATGGTAGGTAGAAGGACGTTCTCTTCTCACTCTGCCCACCGTCTTCCTGGAACTCTGATGGCAACTGATTGCTGCTTCCCGTCTGCCTGCACTCGCCCTCTGAGCCCGCCGCCTCCACATCGGGGACTGTGACAGGTCGACTGAGCCTCAGGTGGACCTTAATGAAACCTGTGTAGGATCCATCTGAGGCCTGTGAAACACAGAGAGAGGTAACAAAAAGGAAAGTAGTCATTAGGGGATAGTTACTTTCATTACCAAAAATCCATGAGGAAAAAAGCTCTACTGTAAAAACAAAGAAAGATATGTAAGACTTGTGTGGAGGTAAACAACAAAGACACCTTCAATGCTGTCCTAAATTAGCAGACTTGATTAATTGTTTTATATTAACACTTTTGTCTCTCCCTTGTCTCACATTATCTCTCCAGAAACCCATTTAGTTCTGAAATCTTACAAACCTGAGGACTGAAACTGAATGAAGAACTTGAAACAAACCAGCACACAGAGAGTACAGGAAAGGAAGAAAAAGGGAATGTGTTTCCCAGGTAAAGTCAAAATGCTAAGCTAAGCTAGCCTGCTGCTAGCTGCAGCTGTCTATTCATTCCACACACATCGAGTGGTATCAATGTTCTTATCTGGATTCGATTAAGTTAGCAAACTAGTGTTGTTCCTTAGATGTTAAATGAATACTTCTAAGTGATCTCTCAGTCTTAAAACATATATATACTGTATATATTTATCTATTAAAACTAACAGAACATCAAATGTTCTTCTAATGCTTATTTAAGATATATTTTTCTGATATCCTACTTTTCGATTCCTAACTATGTATAAACACTTCCTGCAATATACACCAGCTCAGTTTCCCTTTTAGTCCTCTTTCAATAATCAAAGTGAGGAAGTTCTAAAAGTTTCAGTTTCTTTGTCATTAACAGTACAGGAACATTAACCAGCTTCAAAAAACTACAAGTTCTCAGAACTCACCAGTTTCATGCCATTTTCAGACACTTGAGTGTTGTACTCTTCTATCCTCTTCTGCACATCTTCTTCTGACAGCTCCTTTGTTCCTCCCTCCTCCTCCTCTTTTGTTTCATTCTGCTGTAAGGCAGATAGAGAAAATGGAGTCAGCATCAAAATATGAAGAGCACTGGTAGTGTCACTGTTTCATCTTAACCAGCAGATGGCGCTGCTCCCAACAAGTCCTGCAAAACAAAAAATGCTCTATTTTGCTCTTCTCAATTTTATGAATAGATATCAAAGTAAACCCATCATACCTTACAAAGGGTGCCGACCTATTTCCAGTCACACTGGGTTTCATATTTAAGAAATGAAAAAAAGATAGGCAGAATTTAAGGCTGATGTGGTGTTCTTCATAAACGATTACTTGTGAATAAGTCATCCATCTTTGTCAACCTTAATAAGGACAAGCTGCTTCATTGATCGAATGCTGACGGGGATCCTTACACACCCTGGTTTACCTACTCTGCAGCTCGACACAGGGACAGGGAATGTTGTGAATGGAGCAAAAACCACATTCAGAATCCCAGCATGAGAACATCGACAGTGCTCCCTCCCTCTCCCTCTTACTCATGTCTCATTTATGCGATAAGGAATGACAGACAGAGAAAGGGAGACAGGAGACATGAAATGATGGAGGAGAGGGAAGAAAGGGAGGAAAAAAGGGGGAGGCAGTGGAAGACACGAGTAAGGGGTAAGGAGTGATGAAAGAGAGGCTGCTGAGCCAGCCTTAGCAACACAGAGTTTGGCTGGGTTATTTATAGTACAGTGGGATGCATCCTCTCTATCTCACAATAGCGTTTTTTTTTCTCTCCTCCTGTTCGTTTGCATTTTCTGGGGCAGAGAGAGAGAGAGAGATAGATAGAGAGAGAGAGAGTTAGAGAGAATGAGAGAGAGTGAATACAGGCCAGGCTTCTTTTCTGTAGGGGACTCCTCGGGTTGTGTGATGATGTCACTGTTTTCATTCAGTGCAGATGCAGAGTGCGGGTGTCTGTGAGTGCAGAGCATACATATGGACTGAGGCACATTGAGTGCTAATAAACAGACACACTGCAAGTGTAGCTTAGCTTATCCTTGATGACATTCAGGAAAAAAAATAGGTGGTAAGATTGACACATTTAAAATTTCAAGGCTGACATCTGAAGGATGCCAACAGAACTGTGTGTCTGTGTGTGTTTGTGTCCATGTGTGAAAAGGAACAGGAAGTACTTTTTTTATTGTGCATTTGGGTGACCACCAAAGCTCATTCTTTAAGTTGTTGCCTTTATCTTCTTCTTCTACACTTATAATCAGCCAGCCGCAAAATGACTGTCCTATAATAAAGGTTCATGTGCATTCTGCCATGTAAGAGCAGTGAACGAAGCCAAAGCAACTGTGGTCACTGCAGGTCATAAATTAAGTAATTCAAGCCCCACATTTAGATTTTAAGAGTTTACGATCCTGTCCCTAAGGCGTCTGATTCATGAAGTGAAATTCATATGAAATGCATTCATGTAGTAACATTCTGGTGGATAAACAGTTGGGGTTATGTGAAGAATCTGAAGGACATGGAGGAGTTGACTTGTATCTGAAATTCCTCCCAGTTAGAAGCAACAAAGTGAATAGAACTTGCAGGAATTCCTGCGTTTGTATGCAAGTTTCTAAATGTATCAGAGGCATTGCCCTGCCCTCCCTTTCTGCATACCAGTGAGAGTGGTCAGGGGACAATAGAGAGATTTCCGCCCCTGAGATTTCCACTCAGTCCTAGCACAAGCACTGCCCCTGTGGATGGGGTCAGGAGGGAGGGCAATGGCCGGCAAAACACCGAAACAGAGAGAGTAAAAATGTATTTTACGGTTTACCCTGCATTTTGAGGTACAGTCATTAGACAAATATACCTTGTGATGGGATGATAAATCTGACACAGAAATCATTTACAATCCCACAGTTCTTCATGTTCGCAGAGCTCAATTTTAACTGCTTCAAATTAAAGGAGTGATACTGAATCATGCATGGTAATAAGAGTGTATTTATGTTTGTATTGTTTTGGCAGCACCTCTGTTGTGTTGCCACGTAGATGTTTAGAGCTACTCAAGGGGCTTTACCAGTTGAGGCTGATGACTGTTGACTAACAAGTCGGGTTCTGCTTGAAGCCTCTGCCTGTTCAAAGTGCCAAAGTGCTCGCTCATGGTGAATTAATGACGTGTTCCTCGGTAAGCACACACAGAATTTAAGAACTACAAGTTGTCTGATCGTACGTTATAGGAGCACCAAAGTCTAAACTGCTCAACAATCATACAACAATTGGCTCAAGCCAAAAAAAAAAAAAGGGGGGCAGAAAAGAGGTCACTGAACCCTCCCAACCAACAAACCTTCTGACATGACATCTTTTCATTGCATTTGTTAAGACCAAGTTAAGTGACATTACATAAATGTTTTTTGTTTTAAAGGAAAATTAGGAAGGATGCAATGTAATGTTATGCAAACAGACTTTCAGTATGTACAAAAACCTGGATTGTTTTTTCTGAGGAAAAGACAATCCTGATTTAAGGTGAGAATAATGCTTTAGTTAAAGGACGGGGATCAATTATTTAATGATCTCGGCTGCAATTGAAAAATAGACCTTTAGTTCTCAGGACTATGCTTTTCTTTTTTACAAAGGTAATTATTAAAGACTTGTTGCCTTTATTTGACAGAACAGTTGATATAGGAAACAGGGGGGAGAGTGGGGAATGACTTGTGGGCCATCTGTGCCCCATACAGCACTTAGTTTTGATATGCTTTCTCCTCCATTGAAATGAACTCAAAACACAAAGTTGAGTCACTACCAATGCTGATGAGTTCAGTTTAGATGACAGAAATCTGAAGTCCTCAACCAGAGGAAATGCCCCAAAGCCAGAGTGTCTGAGTCGCCTAGTCTGAGACTGTTCATATGTTTTGTTTACACGGATGTGTAGTGAATTTACTCGATATTCAATGTAAAATAAGAGCCTAATATAATAAACACCAGACATGAGGGCTTTGTTCCAGACTTAGGGCTGGGGCTAAGTACAAGACTGCCTTGGGGAAGATCCAATTTTAAGTTCCCAAGAAACAGAATGTTAGCAAAGAGTGGAGCTACTGTACCAGAAAACATCAAACCGTTGGTTAGAAGTGCACTTAAAGATGAAACTGCTGTTGTCACAATAACAACAACAATATTACAGGTGACACATCCAGACTGATTAATCCAGCTCGAAGGTGTGAGTCAGGTAGACTCAAAGCAGCTTAAGTGTGTAAGATATCTAGGTCTGTTACATAATGGTAACACCATACGCACACATGCCATGTAGACACACACACACACACACACACACACACGCCTCTGGGTGACGTGAATAAGTGTTGATGTTCTCACCCTGATAAGAACAGACAAGAGAGGTCATCTACTGCAGAAGTGCTGCATGAAAACAAACCTGTCTGTGTGCATGATCTGACAACATTTAAACTGTCCTGAACTTTCTCATAACTTCATCTGTTTAACCTGCTTGTGTGTGTGTGTGTGTGTGTGTGTGTGTGTGTGTGTGCTTGTGTGTAAGCATGCTGTTGCATGTTTGACATCATGATCTTCAGGTAACACTAGACTCTATGATCAATTGACAACAGGCCAAGATTAAGGACAGAGCAAAGCAGCCAGAATGAAACTACTGAAAAGAAATACTGAAATACAGAGAAAAAAAATGTCAACAGCATTCAGCAATAACATACAAACATGCACAAATACACATGAACAGATACATGTAATAGTGCATGTTTGTACAATGCCTTTGGTAGGTCACAGCTCCACTGTCCAAACTCACACATACACATAGAAGAAGAAAATTCTCTGACCCTCAATGCATTTCATCTTACAAATACAAATACAAGTTTATGATTATTCTTAAAGTTTCACCCAAGCTTTTCAATGTAGTTGTAGCCCTCTACACATGCAGGGGATCTGCTCTGTGTTGGAGATCCCCCACAGCAATGATATTTATTAATTTGACTGCATCAAAAGCTGAACAGAATGAATGGGTCATACCCCCCTGCTCAGCTCAGACATACACATGCACAACACATAAAAGCTGGCTGCCTGATCTGGAGCAAAAGGCTCAGCTCTGGAAATAATTCATAGAGAAAGAGGATCTGAACTCCTCCTCCTCCACTGTTTAAATGAACCGTGTCTCCCTGTGTGTCTGTGTACATAAAAGCATATACATGAAGGCAAATTGAACACAGTGGTACTTTTTTTTTACATTCCCAAATACACACATTACATGATCATTTTGTCTGTTCACATGATGCAACGTGGCTCTTTGCATATCTCATTTTCATATTCAAACACAGAAAAACAGGACTCTTTCTCTGTAGGGCTTCTGCTCGACCAGAGGACTCTCTCCCTCCTGTGATCCAAAGCAGACTGTGTCAAACCATTTCATGTCAAACACTTTTATGTCAAACCAGTTTATGTCAAACTATTTTCTCTGGCTGTGTACAGACAGAGACATCAGTCTTCATCAGCTGGCAGCCCAACAAGTCAACCCTGATACCCCTCTGTCTCAACACAGCAGCAACCCTAACTCCACACACACACACTTAGACAACACAGCTGGTCAATTATTCAGAGATTAAACCTTCTCCAAGTCAGACACCAAAGGCTCTGTCAGACAGTAAGACGAGAGCTGGGCATATTTTACATGAATGCAAATGTCTCTGCAGTTCAGAAGGCTACACCAGCAACCATAATCACTGCCTGTTACACTTCTCTCTACATAAATGTACTCTATCACCTGCAGTGCATCGTGGGAGAAGCCCCTCCTGCGGTGCATGTAAAGCTGTATAAACTGTAGTTATAGCATGTGACAGGGTTCTGTGTGGAGTAATTGAATGTACAGTAGAGCAAAACCAAATCCTCAGAAAGTGTGCCAACTAAACCACAGGTTGCCATGGTAACTGGGAAAGTGGTTTGCTACAGATAAGTACTCACTCTACACACACATACACACACACACACACACGCACGCACACATTTTAACAGACAGAAATTCACTCACTTACAGTGATTCTGGTGCAATAGTATCAGCTGTGTTACTAAGGAAACCTCTCCCACAAACTCCAGAGATGAAGCCTCCGAGAAACCTCTAAGTTAGCGTCAACAGCGGCATGCTAAAACACAGCAGACATTTCATCTCTCTGATGCTTAATCTGAGAGAGCTGCTCAAATGATAAATGATCTGCCAAAAGGCATCAAGGTTGATGGACAAGGAGGCCGGGAGATCAATGTTACACAACAGATGTATGACAGTAACCCCCTCCTACACTCACACACACCTAGAGGCCTGAACCAAGTGTGCACAAACCCCACTTCCTCTCCACACTTCTGCTTTTGGTATGTTTGTGATAGAAATGGCAGCTTTTTTCCCAGCCAAACTTCAACACCCTACAATTTGACCAATCTGAGTTGTGTGTTACTTTTATAGATCCATTAGTGATATACCCATTTTTGTACCTTAGCTGCGTGTTTCGGCTGGCGGAAGAACGAGGTCTTGGCTGTGAAGAAAGTGAAGTCTTCGCTCTCGTCGTCCAGGCTGCAGTACCCGCTGCTCATGCTGTTGCTGCTTGTCATGGAAGGGGTCAGCACCGTGTTGACAGTCATGGAGAAGTCCAGGCTGGGTCGCCGGCACCAGAGGAGCACGTTGACAGCTTGAGGAAGTGCGTGTATATCTCAAAAAAACACACTTGGCTGATGTGCCAAGCTGCAACAATCAGAGTCTAAACGCTTCTTCTAACTGTCCTTTACTCATCCAGAAAAAGTCAGAGCTCCTCCGCTGATGCATCCAGAGAGTTAAAGTCCCACCTGTGGGGGCGAGACAGGTGAACTCGGCTCAGATTCAGCCGCTTTGCGTGCCACCAGAGAGGGGACCAGGAAATCCGAGAGAAAGCACAGACTTGTCACTTCCTCCTGACGTGTGTGTGTGTGTGTGTGTGTGTGTGTGTGTGTGTGTGTGTGTGTGTGTTATAGCTCTGACACCGGTGTCAAAAACACACCATACATTATATTCACCTGGTTTGATGCTGAACAAACACACGTGTACATTTGACCCTCATGCACACACACAAGCACACACTTGTGTCATGGAGTCAGTTTACAGGTTGGTTTCAAGTTAACCCTGCTCACCTGAGAGCCTGTTACACGCACAAACAAATGTTCATACAAACATGCATGATGCAACACAGCACCTTAGTTCCATCCTTCAGCAAAAAAAAAATCAAAAATCAAAGAAACCAAACAAGGAATAGTTCACTGCAAGTCCAAGCAGCAGCTCAGTTATGCCTGCGTTTAAGTGCTTGAGCATTCATCCGTCCCTTGAGTCCTCCTGCAGCAGCAACAAGACGCTCTGCATTACATCCTCTCTCCTCCTCTTCCTCTGTTGCTTTGGCGATACAACCAGAACGAGAGATGGATGCCTCCCACTCAGCCTCTCTCTCCCCCATTTCTTACTCTCTCCTAGTCTGCTAGTCGTTGCTCCCTCACTCTCTAGCAGCCTTGCTCAACCATCTGTGGTTATCAGCCTCCAAGCACCCTCCCCCTTCTCCCTCCACTCTCTCTCTCTCTCTCTCTCTCTCTCTCTCTCTCTCTCTCTCTCTCTCGTCCTGCAAGAGACTGCACCCTGCAGAGCATGGCCACTTCCTGTTACACAGAGAGCAAGCGAGAGAACAAGAGAGAGAGAGACGCTGATGAGTGGAAGATATGAAGCCTCACAGCTTCTGTTTTACATACGTGAGAGCAGCAGTGACAGGAAGCAGTAGAAGGGCCGGGGAAGATGGCTGCTTTTCAGTCAAAATTTACTGAAACAGTTGAACTTTTACAAAGGACAGTGCTATAATTAAGGCTTATATTTCTAAACCAATCCCGGACAGATACAGGCCAAGTCAAAAATGCAAAACCTTCAGAGCCATTTTTCCATAAACATCCGTTATTTTTGAATGTCCAGTATGCACCAGCAGCTCACTCTGTATTTTGTAATGTGAAATGAGAGACCCTCCTCTATATTCCTCCATTTTATTTGAATTAATGTCAAAACATGAGGTCATTACTGTACACTATATTTTCTATTACACATGTTTACATTTCATTCTGTTGGTTTCTGTGTTAGTTATTTTTTTAAGTATTGTTTCTTTGTTTTCAATTTGATCTATTTTCCCTCTCTTTGATGCCATGTGAAGCATTTCAGGCGGCATGTTTGTATAAAATAGGCCTTATAATTGAAGTGGAGTCGATTTGAGAATTGCACAATCACTTCTGGTTGAGTATGGGGGAGGTCTTGCAGCTCCCAAAGTGAGATTAGGAAAAGAATGAATTGCCCCTCAAATAGAGATTACAATGACCTCTAACCTCTCACTGACCCTGCAATCTGCCCTTTGTCTCTGGCAGTGACCCCTGCATCAAAAAGCATCAAATGCTCCTTTCCCTGCTGGGATTAATGATGGGTATGTGTATTTCTGCACATTCTAATATTGGCATGTATAGTATATGACTTTCAGCTACCCAGACACGTCTCTTTCCAATGTCCTGCTGTCAGGTTTGAGGTGGGTGAAGACTGATTACCAGTAGCTCTGCTCCTCGCTTCCATCAGTGTAATCACTGCAGGAGAAGGATGCTACACACACACACACACACACACACACACACACACACACACACACACACACACACACACACACACACACACACACACACACACACACACACACACACACACACACACACACACACACACACACACACATCTTGAATGACACTCCTGCTAAGTCGATAAAGCCTGGTCATTGGGCTGCATGTATGGGTTTACTGGGGGTTAAAAAAGGGATCAATTTCTGCTGATGCACACAATAGGGAGCAGTAAAGACAGAGGGGGAAAACAGCACACAAACAGCTGCAGCTATAAAAGAGAGCAAAAAGGGAGAAAGAGGGCTGCAGGAAATAAACTGTCACATCTCCTCTTGTCTGCAGTACTAGTGCTCTCTATGAAACAAACAAGAGTGTTAGTCACAGAGTTCACATACCTCTAAGACAGACATCATCAACACTCGTTTAAATCTGACTTTCAGCTTATCTTTAACTCCACAGTCATTAAACTAGAAAGGAAGTAGTGGCAGCGTTTAAGCTTAATATGACTAAGTGAAGAATAAACTAAATGATGAATGTCATGATCTGGCTTGCATAAAACAGGAGCATGTTTGTGGAACAAACACAGTTTAAAGTGTGGCCACTGGACATTGGGTTAAATGTGCTCATTTATTCACTCTGCTTATTTGCTCGCTCCATTTCTCGTGACTCCCCCTCAAAACATTCAAGGATTGTGTGTATTTTGTATGCTCTCTAACACCCCCTGGCAAACTACCAAGGGTCTCATTTTGTGTGTTATCTGCCCCCTGGGAGTACAGTAGCATCCAGCATACAGCTGCAGGGGTAATCCAAATGTGTGTGTGTGTGGGTGTGTTTGTATGGACTGTATTGAGTGGGTGACTCAGCCTTGGATGCCAAGAGCTGCATGCAGACTCACACTCTCTCTGGGTCCTGTATCACACATGTGATGACACAAACTGTGGGTGTAGCACTATTTCGAGGATACATTTTTACATAATAACTGTATCACTGGATATCCTGTGGCACAAATGGTATGAGAGCATAACTTGTTGTAATGATAGATTTTGAAATTAAATACTGAAATATGTTACTAAATTTATTCCAATGGCGTACACAAGATCTGAGAAAGTGTTGAGCTAACACACCACACTGTACTGGAGGTCCCTACTGAGAAACTAAGATTAACCTAATTAGTTTGCATTCATTGCATAAGAGCATCTGAGGAAGTGAGCACATCGAGAGGAGGAAGACGAGGGGGGCTCTGAGAGCAAGAGAGCGGGCAGGAGAGAGGGAGATACATCACATGCTTTAGTGACAAATCGCAGTCTGTCCTGAGAACACTCTGTGACCAGAAAAGGCAAATGAGTGCATATTTAAATTCATAAATAGACCACGGAGCAGGAGGAGGGACAGCATGTTGTGAAAGAGTAGGACGGTTATGTAAAAGTTCAGACCTGAAGAGATGCTGCAGAATGAACCCTCCCATTACCCAGAGACTCATGTACACCTCTGCAAAATAACTCCTATAAAGAGCTGGACACACTCCATGTTAGATCATGTGTTTGCTCTTCAACAGTGGCCTTTGAAATACCACAGAGAGTTCTCAGCATCCTTTTAGAAGTAATGATGATTTTTTTTTTGTATTTTAAAAATGCCCACCTTGTGCCGGGCAGCTTTGGAGTAGCAGTGGCTTCTGGGAGATGGAGTTTCTTTGGAGTCTCTGTCCTTCTGGTTGCAGTCGAGCTGAACCTGGCTCTCACACTCCAGGTGACAGGTGTAGCTGCAGTCTGAAGGACAACAACAACAAAACAACAAAGGAATCAAGACCACTTATAATATAAGGACACAAACCAATCACTGAAAAGGACAGAATAATTTGATTATATATTTAATGTAACCTCCTTGATATGTGATAAGTCAAGTGTGTGTGTGTTTGAAAAAAATATGTAATCCAGCATGTTAAGTCATCCTTTATACAGAATATTAGCTCCATCTAGTGGTTAAAGCAGGACACGCAGTCACAATGTACAGTGGGAATTCATTGACAAAAAATACACTTGACATGTGAAGAATAAACTTAGATAATAATAATTCTAGAGCCATTATCAGACAAAATCCAGTTACAACTCATATTATCAAAAATCAAATAAACTGAGAAATAGTGAAAATCACAAACTTTAGCCTACTTATTACACCTTTGAAACCACCACCATACATCTAATTAACCAATCAGATGTTAGGAAAAATACTAAGCAAAGTCCAACAAAATAAGCATGGTATTTCAGAGGAAGACACAAAAGTTGTTCCCGCTGCTTCGTTTGTGGCGTATAAATGTTTATGATTGGGATTGGTTACTTCTGATGGACTCTTTACTCAGCAGCCTCTACCATCAGTGTGTGAATGTGTATGAATGGATGAGTTAATACTGATGGACACTTTACACAGCAGCCTCTACCATCAGTGTGTGAATGTGTAGGTGTGACCTGCAGTGTAAAAGCACTTTGAGTAGTCAGAAGACTAGAAAAGTGATATATAAGCTCAAGTCCATTTACTATTTACCAATACACTTTATAATGGACTGTATTGTTACAATGTATGGAAACACTCCAATATACTGCACCACTACAGAAACCCTGGTCTGGTTATATCACATCTTACTGCTCTGTCAAAGAAAGAAAAGATGGAAAGTATTTCCAAGAAAAACTTTCCAAAACAGTCCACTGTTTTTACATTTTTTTGATGTGGCTCCACATTGGTTGGTCTCAGCTTGTTTATGCAGCGTAGACTTTATTGTGGCTGGAAGCTCTCCCACGAGACAAACAGCCCCACATCTAACTTCTCTGCTCATGAGATAATCCATGCTAAAGAAAAAGACGATTTAAAAAAACACACATAGGCAACGAGGACTGCTGTTTTAAGGAAACACTGAGTCAGTTTCTCATTGTGGTCCTCAAGAAGGAGTGCTTCTAAAAGCACACTAACATATAGATCGAATGAAACCATCAAAGTATTTAAACAAGTTGAAGAAAATACAAAAATATCTGCTTAAAAAAGGCACATTGTTTTCCTGTTGACGTCTTTGTTTCAGTGCTGCGTGAGTAGAGCTGAACTACGCCTTGCTGGTTTTCTGTTTACTGACACTAGTCTTAATCTGACCTGCTTACACCACTGCACTTTTCACACTCAGCATCAACACTGTAACCATGGCAACCAATTCTTGATAACCACTGTGAAAGATAATAAAAAGCTGTTGTTTAGAAGTTTTTTAGTGGTAGAAAAAAAAAAACATGTACTCGTCTGTACTGGTATGGAAAAATATGACACCTCATTACTAAAGCAGTAATGAGGACAAGGTGTACTAACACGGGAGGGGACATGTGTAGCAAAGAGTATCTTTTCTGTTAAAGGGCGGTCAAAAGTTGATAAATACAATGCCACATCCAGTAATGAGTAGAGATAGTACAATACATCTCATGACTTGGAACGTCAGAGGGATAAACCAGCCTATTAAAAGAAAAAAAATAATGAATTTTGCTAAAATATTGTCAAATATTATTTCTGCAGGAAACTCATATTCTCCAACAAGAATCTATGAAACTGAGAAGGGAATGGGTTGGCCAAGTGCCATCCAGCACATATAATACCAAAAGTAGAGGGGTGGTAACTCTTTCTCACAAAAAACTTTAACAACATCCAAATGGCATTTATTAATATTTATGCGCCCCCCAATTCTGATGGTATTGTGTTCCATGAAATTAATAACCACATCTCAGCGCTGGGAGATATCCCTATCGTGATGGGGGGGGATTTTAACATTGTATTGGATAAAGTTATTGATAAATCGCCCTGTGCTCCTAGCAAAGGTAGAAATAATGCTGAAAAAGCTTTGAATACTCTGATGAAAGACCAAGCATTAGTGGATATATGGAGATTAACACATCCGACAGAGAAAGATTACACTTTCTATTCAATACCCCAGAATTCACACTCCAGATTGGACTATTTCTTGGTGAGCAAGCCTTGGGTGGACAATACTCTTTCTTGCAGTATAGGGAGTCGGCATATCTTAGACCACAGTCCAGTGGAACTTGCCATAACACATTTTCAAAAATCCAGACAGCAGTTTAACTGGCGCATGTATGGGGGTTCACTTCAAGACAAGGAGCTGTGCAAGATTATTAATACTGAAATTGACAACTACCTTGAACATAACATGGGCTCAGTGTCCTCATCGAGTATATTGTGGGAGGCCTTAAAAGTCTACTTAAGAGGTCAGATAATGGGATTTCAAGCCAGAAGGAAGAAACAAGAGACAGAGAAGCAACTAAAATTGGAAGCATTATTAAAAGAAGCTGAGACTGAATCCCATAACTGGAAATATTAGGAAGGTTACCAGTCTCAAATTTCAACGTAACTCCTTATATGCAAAGTCAGTGGAACATGCGTTGTTCACAATACAGGCAAAATCTTATGAGGACGGTGAACAAGCTTCTAAACTCTTGGCATGCAGACTTAAAACGTAAAAACTAGGAACATAATTACAGCTGTAAAAGATAAATATGACAATGTGCTGACTAATGAGAAACAAATAAACAACACCTATAAGGAATATTTTGAGTCATTATACCAATCAGAAATAACCCCATCTGACCATGAAAGTATTAACCACAAGATGGAGCTATTTCTAAATCATATACAAGTACCATCTATCAATGCTAAGGAAAAAAGTATAATAGAGGGAGATATAACAGTAGAAGAAATAAATATAGCTATCATCCAAATGGCTCCCGGCAAATCACCTGGGATGGACGGCCTAACACCCCTACTACTGGCACACTACAATGAAGTTTTTCTAACTGGCACTTTCTCCACTTTTTCAAATACAGCATCAATTATTCTTCTTCCCAAGAAAGATAAAGACCCCTTGCTTTGCGGAAGCAAGCGTCCTTTGTCTATTCTAAATTGTGATATTAAGACATTGTCCAAAGTGTTGGCTAATAGGCTGGAACGGGTAATAGCTAAATTGGTTCATCCAGACCAAGTAGGTTACATTAGGCAACGGCACAGCTCTGATAACATCAGGCATCTATTGAATATAAAGTGGGCAAAAAGAAACTCCCCATCTCCTACCCTGGCACTTAGATACTGAAAAGGCCTTTGACAGAGTGGAATGGGGTTACCTGTTTAATATACTGGAGAAATATGGGTTTGGCCCCTATTTCATCCTGTGTGTTAGTAGTTTGTATTCTGGGTGGAGGTATGTCAAAAAGTAAGTGACATAATAAGTAAGCAAATAGACCCAGTCCCTGCAGTTTGCCTGCTTGGTGTAATTTCCAGACTCGAATCTCAAACTAACAGCAAGTGGCTGGCTACAGCTTTTGCAGTCGCTAAAAAGCTAATATACTGTAGATGGAGAGACGTTTCAGCTCCCACCACCCTAGACTGGTATCATGCACTTGGAAAAATAGCCAAACTGGCTAACCATACAGCAACATAGACGCTGTGCACAAATATGACATAATCTGGGGCCCTTTTCTCTCTTTTATGATATGACTCGGTATTGACTCTGATCTGCGATTAAACAACTGTTCTTGAGTCATATATGGGGGGAAAAAAAGAAAGAAAAAGAAAAATAGAAGAAGAAAAAAGAAAAGGGGAATATTATAATATACTAAATATATATATAATATACTTGCAGACAGGCCTGGGAACATATAGCCTCTGAATAATTTATGTTTAGAGTTTTTCCTTGTATTTTTTTCCCATTGCCTGTTTCTGTTTTAATTTTAAAAAACCATTCAATAAAAAGAGAATCAAAAAAAAAAAGAAAAAAAAGTGTAGCAATGAGGAATGTTCAGATAAAGGATACTTTGCTTGTGACACCTAAGGGGTCACACCATGAGAAGGGGTAGAAATGAGTATCATGTGTTTGTGACGGAGGCCGGTTGGCAGAGAGGGAGAGTAAGAGGGCAGGGCTGCAGCGCCTCGATGACAGAAGGGATGTGTTTAGGAAAGAGTCGAGTTAAGATAAGGGGTGCTTCTTCTGATGACAGTTTAGAGGTCATCACAGAAAGAGAGAAAGAGAGGAAGCACACAGGGGAAGGAAGAGAGAAGCTCTTTCCTTCATTTACTTTATCCACCCTCAGATAACACGAGTGATTTTCTGCACTTTTTTATTTAGAGTTGGCTGAAAGGATTGATACCGTTATCCTCTGTGTCCTCGTGCAGGCAGATTTCTATAGACACGAGTTGTATCGTTCACATTTAAATCTTGGCATGAAAAGGAACAAGCATGTAAACAAACGTTCAAAATGTTCCTATAGGACTCGAGGAGATTTAGTAGACAAACACACTTTTTGTATTCCCGTGCTCTGTATCATGATTATAGACTGTACATAACATGGATGTGGTCTCAGTCAGTCTCACCCATTGGTTTCTTAAAGAGGCGTAATGAAGCCCAATGATGACCATTATCATATTGGAAATGCTGATTCCAACTAACTTCTATCTAATCGAGAAGTAGGCAAAAGGTGGGGCTGAGACGGGCTGATCGTGGTTGCTGAAACCTGCCCATCTAGAACAAAGACGACAGTTTAAGGTCAGTAACAGGATCTAAAGATTGGCAGGGGGTTCCTTGGTTTTTGGAGTCAGCATCAGTAGGAGGAACTGCAGCTTTTTGCACTTCCACATTGGCTCCATATTCTAACAACAGAGGTGATGATAAATAGAAAAGTGGAACCTCCTAAAAGCTCCACTGTGCAACTAGTGGTAAAAAAACAACCTTTAA